AGTTCTTCGTCCGTCATAACCGTAGGGTGTATCATTGTGTCCTACATCACTTATATTAGAGGAAGTATAGGGTTTGTGCGGACGTATGTAGCGCCCCGAAGAGCTTAAGATAAACGCATTTTTTATTATTTTTATCACCCTGTCTGTCTGTTTGTCTGTCCGTCGCAATTACGAATATGTAATATTTATATGGTAAGAAGGTCTAATTTTCTAGTCTAATATTTAATGGTTCATAAAAATAAATAGACGAAGAAATCAACTTTACCGTATTTGGACCACGCAGATCTATTTTTTGCATACCATCGCAGGAAATGTGAACCCTTATATGCCTAAAAACTTAATTGTCAGTATGCATGATGTAAAATTTGTTCATGCGAGTAATTTGACATAAAAATTAGGTGAACCAAATTTGAGCTACTTGGGTATATTTCTTGGACCATAATCCGTATAAACAGTTCTTCACTTTTTAATTTTTAATATTTTATGATGAAAATTGGTCCATAGTAGCAAATTAACCACAAAAATTAACACTAGTGAATGTGGGCTACATAGATCTATTTTTTAGATCCTAAGATATATAGGGGTTATCATGAAAAGCAAACCCTTATATGGAGAGAAAGTTTAATTTCTAGCTTTCTATGGCGGAAGTTGAAAACTAGTAAAATTTTTGGAAAGTAAATTAAGTTTGCTAAATTTGGATCACGTCTTTCGACGCTTTGAGCATTCTTCAATTCGGGGATTTTAATGCAATACATGTCTTTGCATGAAAATAATGTAACGTTGTACTGGGCGAAAAGGTGTAGGGTATTCAATGATGCACCTTACCTCACTATAATATTCTTACTTTTTTTTTTATTTTATGTTATTTGTTTAGACTGTCTCGGTGTTTAACGAGGACGGCCGTTTATACGCACGAAGCGATGATATTTCATGTTATGAGATTTTTCTTATTTTTTAGATAAATCCAACTACAGAGTTATCCTCAAGCAAATATAAAACTATGCAGTACTATGCAGTGGATTTGTGGTGGACGACTTGATTTTTTTTAATTTATGCCAATCTCTTGGGCGATGTCTCGGATTTGTGTAACATGGAGACGGTCATGAAGAAAGTGAGAAAAGGGAAAGAGATAGGGAGGTTCCTTCCCGAATAGAGTCATAGAACGATTTTGGTTTTCTTTGGTTTGGTTAATTTTGCGTCGGTCTTGACTACAATCAAGAATGGTTTGGTGTTAACTCCTTTTGGCAATTGTCGCTATTTAACAGGCTTCGTCACTTACACTGTCTTTGTTTACTCGGAATGGAGAGAGTTGTATAAGTTTGGCAGTTTCTTCTTCCTCAGCTATTTTTTATATGAGCATGAGCATCGTTTCCATATAATCGAATTCCGAGCAGCTCTCAATTATATGTAAGTAAGAAATAGAGCCGCAAAAGCAAATCGATTACGAACCTCCACAACCACGGAAATTGATTGCAGCTAAAGGCTGTCTCCGATCGACGCGGTGTTGCCACTTCTGCTAACTACTCTTTACATTTTATTGATTTCCAAAACTTAACCTTAGATCATGGAGATCGAATCTAACCTCAACACCGAATAAGCGCTTGTTGCGCAACTATGTTTGAAATTGATCCGAATTGCAGTTTGATGGATGCAATATTCATGGATGCAATATTTTCAAAATATAAAATATTTAATTGTATATAGCTATATGCGCCTTGCACTAATACCGCTCGTACTTATTACTTGACAAAAACTTGTTAAACTATAAACTACAACTATGGCATACTTTTGTTTTTGTTTTTTTTGTATTCATTTTTATTTTCATAGTTTTTATATTTTTAATCCTTTTAAGAAAGTTTTTTGCCGCATCATACTTCGCTGTCTACTTGCCTTGGCATATATGAATGGCTTAATGAAATATTTATCACACATATGCACGTATGTACTTTACGTAACTATAAATGTCACTTATACGTACTGAAATTATTTCATTTTGTTTTATTATTTTTGCTTTTCTTTTTTAATTAAAATAATTGCTATAGCTTGAGAAAGAATTGCTTTCTTCAAGAAATTTCCAAGCATCTAATGAAAACAATTGTTAAGTTGAACTTTAACGCAATCGTTTAAAAGTTCGAAAAAACATCAAACGATGAATAGAGAAGGGAGCAGCGAACAGGGAAAAGGGAATAGAGAAGTGATGAAAAGTTTCTTCTCGGTGTTATTTTGTAAATATCAGTTCTTGACGATATTACTTAACATTTTAATTAATTTATTATTCCAGATTTAAACGATTGCATCAAGAGAAAATTGTTTGATAAATTTCTATAGATCTTTCAGTTTGCTTTTCGACGTTGCGTCGAATATTTAAAAGATGCCTAAGCTAAAGTTAAATTCGACAAGTATAAGTTCTATAATGGACTACGGTCCGCTGTTAAATACCCCTGTAGTACTTCGTTTAATACAATTTTTCAGGTTTTCGGCTTTTCAAAATACGGTTTTATGTAGGAAATTGTCGACGAAGTTGTTCGTCGCTGTAATAGATTTCATTAAAAGACTTAAAAAAACACGATCTAGAGGTTTAACACAATAAAACCAGACATGAAGACGGATGGACAAACATACAACCTTAAATCGATTCACAAATTAATATATAGTATACAATAAAAGATGGGTCGATCTCAAATTCTTCTGAATGTTGCATCCATCCGCATAAACTTAATGTACAGTTGTGCTATAAATGGTGCATATAAAAAGATTCGTTTTAAAAAAGCTTTCCCTAAAATTTCACAGGCAGTAAAAAATTTTCAATTATTGAAGATTTGTATAAATTAATTGTGTGAGAAAATGCAGATCTTAGTGCCGTAAAAATAGGGTTCCGAAGAGATATGCATCTCTCCCTCAGTGTCCGCGATTGTTGAGGTTAAAGCTTACTTTCGTCGTAGATATAGTGAGTATTTGCTCGGTAAAGGGATAACACCGTTCAATTTGATCGCTGACCATGTTGTCGTATTGCACGAACAGGAGTATATCTCCTGAGTGATTGGTAATATTAAAAAAAAAAAAAAAAAAAAACTAGAAAAGAGGATGGATGGATCAACTAAATAACTGTTGAAACATGTAAAGTCTTCGGACCATCAGTCGATCAATTTAAGTTTAAAAAATAAGCGAAACGATTATGAGGTCAATTTGAGGACAATTTTGCCCATGATCCAGGAAGTCACAAAACTTGCTCTTAACTAGCAACGTAATCTTCTAAGTCTTTGCAAAACTGTAGAAACAAATTTCAATCTTACTTTTCAATTCTATTTCTAAGAATAGATTATCGTTTCAACGATTTTTGGTTGAAGCAGGTGTCGAGAAATTCTTTCGAGCAAGCGAATAGTTTTCATAGAATTTACATTTTCATAGCCTAATACAATGCGCTTTGTGACCGTCTGTGGCCTTTCGTGAAAGCAAGTTCATGAGCTTATGCAATTATGAAGGACAGACGGACAAACATGATTAGATATTTCCGAATTAACTTTTATAACAAAAGTGGCTTTATTTTAGGTTTTCCTGGCTGTTGCATACAATTTGATGGAGAAATGAATATAATCGGTAAGCAGTTGCCGGTACATGTACTAAATATTCCAACGCATGCAATATCTCTCAATTCAACGCGAGCAGGCAATGTAAAGCCGTCGGGTACAGTTCTCTCCACCCGCATGTGTCCGCAATCACCATTCTACTAGCAGAGCAAGTGTCGTCACTTAAAAGGGAGTAACGGCATTTTTAAAAAGGCCTTCACAGGAATCATTACGTAGGTTTTTGCCGGCGCTCCGGCAACAACAATAATTCGCAAAGTATCTACAACAAGAAATGGTTAGAAACAATGCCCTAAAATTCTACTCCGATCGACTTGACATAAAATCCGAGAAAAATCTTGAGTTGTAATGAGTAAAATTTTTGGCCGATTTTTGTAACAAAGAAAGTTCGTTTGCTAAGATTGGAAAGAAAAGTATAACTTTTTTAAAATGCAATCGTGCGACCTGTCCCAGTGAAGCAGACAAGATTACAATACAAATTAATTCACTTCACGAACGTCATGGGACTGGAAAGACGACAGAGTCGAGAAGGGCGATGAATTATTTTCTGATCTTTATATTGCTTCGCATATATGATAATCACATGAGAAAGTTAATAAAGCGTTTTTTTCTTTCACCGTTAGTGGCAACTCTGCTTAAGGAGAGAGAAATAGGAGAGAACGTTTTTCCGGAAAGCGCATGCTTCGTCGTTCAGTCGCAAATGAACACTACAGACATGAAAACAAATTTGTCCTACTGACACACACAGTAAACAGAATGCATGCAGGTGTTTGGTTTTACTAGAAAGCTACCGGAAAACCACTTAAATATTCTGAACAACTAAAGAATATATGAGAGGCAAAAAAAGTGAAGGAGAGCGAGAAAAAAACACATGCTTATGCTTATGCTCTGCGAGTAACACAACACAACCACTTGCTTGATTCATGGCATGGCATGATAACCGACCGACTTCTACAGCTGATATTGCGAGACATATACTAAGTAAAGCGAGATTGCTACAACGTAACGTGTCCGTGAGTATATACACATATATATATATATATATGTATATATTTATATATATTTTTGAACCCTTGGCAAAGGCAACAAAGAATGACTGACACATTGCACAGTAGATATTTAGATTTGTTAGTGAACGGACGCCTAGTAACGGATGCATATAACGGCTATAAAAAAAGTCACACATATACACACACATATATACACACACACACACATACACAAAAGTTCTATAATAAAAGAGAATCCTTCAGTTTTTAACTAATTACTTAGAAAAATATTCTCTATTGTACATGTGTTTTAGTTTGTTTCAACGCAACACAACAAAGGGACCCAATATATAAATGTGAAACTATAACCGTAAGCAAGGAATTAGTTCTCTACTATTATATTAAAGATAGTGTTAGTGTTAGTGTTAGTATTAGCGGTATTGATAGTGATAGTGCTAGTGGTAGTGTTAGACAATGTTATGATTAAGTTAAAATGTTAAACAAAGCGCGAGTACAAATATAAAAAATATATAAACATAAAAAAAAAACAAACAAAAATGTAAAGTTTCTACGTGTATGCTGGTGTGAGAGACTTTATCGTTATGTCGTTGCTATGTTTGTTTGCTCAACGCAGTATTTTACGTTAGTTTTTTAGCCTTTTTCGCCATTTCTTTTTATATATGTTTCTCGAAAACCTCTTTTAAAATGTGAACGAAACTAACGTGTATTTGTGTGTAAATAAAAAGCTTCTATATGTGAGTAGTAAGCAAAAAAGAAATACAAAAAAAAAAAAGAAAAAAAAAAGAAAAGAGTAAAAAACGAAGTACTTGGTTACGCTTAGTTTGCAATAACTGTAACGTCACAATTACTGGAGTATATGCATGCATGCATGCATGCATATGTTTGTATGTATGTGCTTTTGTTCGAATACAAGAAAAATAAAAATATGCAAAAATATGCAAGGGATTATTAAAATCATAAAAAATAAGCACAATTGTTGTCGGGACTAGTGTTAAATAGTGTTTGCATAATAAATGTAATCTCTTAATGTTACGAAAAACGAATGGAATTCGCTAAGAAATTGCGTTACTTTAACTATTTTCCCCTTTCGAACATGCCATGGCGTGTTAAGAATTTCCAATAAATGAGCAAAAACGAAAAAGTGCATTACTTTATTGAATAAAAATTTTCCAAAAATTTAAATTTAATTTTTAAAAAAATAATTGAAATTTTCATTAATTAAGATTTTATATGCGTTTTTTTTTTGTCATCGCTGTACCAATATTTTTATCTGACTTGAAAAGATTCGTCAAGAAACTTCAGTTTGTTCGACTACAAGGGGATACGAAGACTTTAGCAAAATTTTTAAAACATTGCAATGTGTCGAGCAATTTTGCTTCATTATGACATGTAATGACTTAAGTTCTTTACTTGTTCTTGTATATGTGTACGTTTAACGAGAGACGAAATTCTTGGTTTCGCTTATAAGATACAAAAATGTCCAAAAGTAATAGAATTATTAAAGTCTGAGTTAATTTAGCTCTATGTGTCCATCCGTCCGCCTCTCTTTCGCTTGCTTGAAAGCTCGCAAGATTGAAATTTGGCTCACGGTGGTCTGCCGCATAGCCCAGAGCGACTATCAAGTTGGCATACACGAGTTCAATTTCCTGTGCGATAGAACATAAACAAGCTATAATTGGTGTATAATGATAGCTCAAAGGTAAAGACATCCTTCTAACCATCACTTTGTTATCCTTGCAGGAGATATCCTCTCAGTGATTGATCATCTATATATACATATGCTATTTGATGGTCTAAGATATAGTTTGAAAATGACCCATGAAGTTCTTATATCTGGGCTCACAGTAATTCCATAGGGGGATTAGTTAAAATTTCGAGTAAGAATGAATTTGAGTTTCTCAAAACCAGACTTACTAAAGGCAAGAGACCTTAACCAGCTAAGAGGAAAAATACAAAAATAAAATTTTCGATAAATATATTCATCTTAACCTTATTTAAGATGTTAATGTAAAAAATTTCAGCTCCGTTCACTGGTATGCTTACAATTAACAAAATGCTTTACAATTTTTATGTAGTGTAGAGTACAGTAGCCTGATGTTTGGCACAAACATTCCTTCATCAATTAAGAGCACAAGGTTAACAAGTAGTTGCGTGTATCTTCTCGCACATCTATCGGCTATAGACTCTAGGAGCTGAAGTAACCTCGAAAAAGATCGATCTTATTTTCATTTAGCATTTTCGATTCAACGATTAAAATTTCTGAATTTTCAGTTATTCGTTCAAAAATTGTCCCGATTGGTTTACGAACATGTTTGTAGCCAATGATAAAAGATTATTTACAATTTAGTCCATTACATATTAGCAGCTTCTTCACCAAACCGTATATTATTTCGGATTCAATTCAAAATATTTTCGAAAATCATTTATTATTCTACGACTGACAGAATCTCTGTGGGTGACCTTTCTTGATCTTTTCTTAACGGTACATTAACTTTTAACCCCTGTTCTGTTATGAATTATAATTTCAAACTTTTCATGAAGTCATGAGATCATAATTCCAATTTTTTGAATTGAAGATAAAAAATTTCCAAAATATTTAGAAAAAATAATAAGATACTTCAAGTAAGTTACCTCAAACGGAAATAAATATTGAAACAAGGCTAGACACACAGTTTTCTGCAAAAGATGTATTTACTGATCAATTGGAAAATTTTCGATTACAAATGTGATGTACAGTTTCGCAAATTTAGCTAACAAGCTAGAGACATGAAGTAATTGGTGTTCGCTTTAAATGCGTTTGATTTTTTAGTTAGACCAAGTTTCAGCTGAATTCAATGAAAACAAAACGGAATTGAAAACAATTAACATTATTATTGAAAACAACTATGCACACATACATAAATCTGAAACTATTTTCATAAACATATATTTTTTGGAAATCGTATAAAATATTAAAAATGCAAAAAAAAATTTAGTATTAAAGAAAGAAGACAAACAAAAAAGAACAAAGAAGAAAAAAAAATTTTTTATGAAAAATGAAAAAAAATAAAAAATTTGAATATTTAAAGCAACATTAATTAAAATGTATATACAAAAAAGAAAAATAAATAAATAAATAAATGTTACTCTCAAGCAGAAGCAAATTTAAGTTTTCGAAGAAAAAATTAATTTATTAAAACTACAAAAAGGTTCCTCTCAAGCGGACACATAAATATAAATTTTGAAAAAAAAAAAAATGTAGTTTAATAAAAATAAATGTTACTCTCAAGCAAAATACATTTTGAAAGAAAATTTAATTCAATAAAAACAATTCCCTCTTAATTAGAAACTAATATATATTTTGAAAAAAAAAAAAAAAAAAAAAACTTAATAAAAATAATTTAAAATAATTGTACAAAAATTACATAAAAATTGCAATAAAAAATGGACTAATTTAATGAAATTTATTATAAAAAATCATTTTAGCAAATTATCCCGATCTGTATGTAACTTTAAAAGAACTGACATAACATCCTGGAGGTTATTTAAAACAAAAAACAAAAAAATATTTAGACAAATGAATATTTTTTCCAGAAAATTTTAAAAACCGCACTGAAAATCAATATTTATACGTTTTTATGCAGCGTAAAATAAAACAAACAAACAACCCAACCGTTAACATATATTACTTAATCCATTAAATGCCATCAAATCCAAATTAACGAAATGTATGTAAATGTTTTAACATAAATATTTCACAAAAAAATTGCACAAATTTCACAAATTGAAAAAAACAAAAAAAAAAAAAAATAATAATAATAACAGAATTCTTTGCATAACTAATAGTTTGCGGTAATATAGCTATTTTCACGACTAACTGCTAACTAAATGGATTATAATTTGCTTAAGATGTTGCCATTCATTATGTCGTAATAACCTTTTCTTAAGTAAGTGCTCTTATTACATTCATGTGTTATGTACGTAGTAGTAATTACGAGAAAATTATTTTCAAGGCCACTCACAGTTACTTATACGCCGTTTCCTGAAAGAAATTCATTTATTTATTTATTTATTTTTTTGCTAATTCTTTAGAATCAAAGATATGCAAAGTTTATTCAAGCAGTTGCTTTCTTAAGTTAGTACAATATTTTAAGTATGATGAGAAGTGCTGCAATCATCATCATCACAGGTGACTACTGTTAAAGATTGTTGTTTTCATATAGTCCGTACTATCAAAAAGTTAACTTACTCAAGTTACTCTATGCGTCTGTCCGTCCTCTGTCAGCCATCCACCTTTCATTGTCTAAATTTGATATAGACAACCATAAGTCATTTCAAAGCTTCAAAAGATCTATTGTTCCCCTATTCTCCTAATCACTGGGGACTTTAATTTACTTAAAGCTAGACAAGAATTGAGATAAACTTAGAGAGGATTATAAAACTCTAAATATTTTTCTTAAAAAAGATTTGTCTCCCTCCTTAATCAGTTAACTGTCGAACTTAGTTTTAAATACCCTTTACATGCGATGCCAATCAAAATCAAGCGGTGATTATACATGTCGAAATCAATACCGCGTATGTTTGTATAAAAGCGGGGAATCGAATCATTTGAGTACATTTTCTTAAGAAAGTGAAGGACTGCTCAGCATGTGCATGTTCCATCGACGCAAACAAACAGTAATCGGGAGGACTCGTGCCTGGTGAGCAGGCTACGTAGACCAGACCGTGCTGCCCGCGTATTGCGAATACGTTTTACTGTATAAACGGACGGATAGATATCGCATTGTTTTCCCCTTTCTTGAGACAGCGAAACGACCAAAGCGATTAATCGTTACTGGTAGACTTTGGTTTCAAACGATTCGTCGAACAGACTGCACTCCTCTGGTCTCACCAAAGCGATTCAGTGTTTCAGTCGATGTGCATGGTACGCTTGCATCTATCCATGAATTGTTAGGTCTGAAATTCTTAAAATAGATTCGCTTAGGTCACGATGCAAAAGAGCCTTTCATTTATATCGTGCGGGCAAAGGAAAAATCCTATTCGTGAATTTGACACGAAACACGACGTTTCCTCTATGGGAGGGAGTATGTTTGCGTTGCAATATGTGTTCATGTTTCGATTGTTTATTGCTATCAGATATCTAAATTAAATTAAATTAAATTGAAAATTACGATTGTTTATTGTTGCCAGATGTCCAAGCTATTTAAAGAAAAGCGCAACTTCAGACGCGTGCGTCTTTCGCATATATTGTGATTTATTTGAAAATTCCGGTTTCATATTTACATAGTGCAAGTGGTCGCATAAACAATTTTGCAGAAAAATTATAGAAAAACGGAAAAGATAAAAAATCAATAAATTTGTTGTTGAAAAATGTATTGTTATTGAAAATTTGAAAATTTTTAAGAAAATAATAAAATTCATAATCAGGGAAAAATAAAGAAAACTTGTAAGAAAATTAAATTCTTTTTCGGGACCGAATCTTTTATGTCCATCACCGTTTATCCCAAAAAAAGACAAAAGAGTAAAAGAACAAAATTCTCATTTATTATAATATGGTGGGGGGGCGCAGCTGATTTCTTCTATTTTCAAAATAAAATTTTTGGTCGTACAAGCATGTGGTCGTTGTAGGCGTGTCCTTTAAAAAGTTTAGGTCAATTCCAAATTCTTCTGAAGAATGTCTACCCCAATTACTACAAAGTTACGCAAACAGGCAGATGGACCGACGAACCTGCGGACATGTTTATGTACATTCAAAGGTGGCCAAGAATTTGTATAGGGTGTTTGAAGCTTGTTATAAATTAAAAATAATTAAATTTTGATCAATTTTTTACACAGATTTTTTTGTGCGCAGATGCTACAGCATCGCCCATAGAATATTGGGTCAAATATTTTGCTATAGTTTATGAGTAATGAGCAACAAACCAATTTTTTATTCGCTTTGTAAAACGAACGTGTTCGCAGTTCGCATGTTGCTGTGGGCGTGTCCCTCGACCGATTTGCCCCATTTTCAATACTAGCGTGCGTACAAGAACTTACAATATTTCTGCTAAATTTGAAGTCGATAGCTCACTTTTGCGATCAGCGGAATGTTTAGAACAGACATTACACAGACAGACAACCGAACAGATGAACATGGTGAAATCGACTCAGAATTTGATGCTGATTAAGAATACGTATGCCTTGTGTGACTTCTTAAGCTTCTTTCTGTGAATATATTCTTTATACTTTAGTGCTGGGTGTAAGAAATTTGTATATAGTGCCACACAGTTGCGAATCTTATAACACGTTTTCGGTACAACATGGTGCCATTTAATCGTTTTAAGCTAGGGACGCTTATACATTTTGTTTTTCTTCCTTTTTTTGATAGATGAAGGGATATAGATACCTTTGCTTTCTTGTTGTTTTTCCCATTTGCTTAACTGTGATATTTTCAAAGGATTAAATAACACTATTGTTAAGTAAATCGTTGGGGTATTATGGTTATTGGTTTTCATTTCCACGATTGCCTTGTTAATTCCGTAAAACGATATTCAAGTGCATTATAATGAAACGGGATATTAATTATAGTGCATAAATAATGAAATAAATGAAAAATAGTTATAAATTGAACTACAACGAACCTGTCGATATCATCTATCGCTGAGGTATTTTCCTTTTTTTTTTTTTTTTAAATGAATATATTTGGAAATTAACATAAATATTGCATTTCAAATTTTTGATTAAAAAAACTTAAAAAAATATTAAATTAGAACATAGGTGACGACAGTTCAAGTGCAATATGCTGCCTAAGCTAAGGCAAACTTTCCCATCACTATACAATAACCGGGATGTTGACTAAGCTTAAAGCAAACTTTCCCATCACTATACAATAAACGTGGATTTGTCGGAAGCCCTACTTGCAAATATGCCTTGAATCCGATCGCCTTGGTTGGTGCTAGTGTTCGTCTTACCTCTTTTTGGTTGTAGAATTTATATCTTTGGTCTAAATAAATTATAATAATAACATATATATTTTTATTTTCAAGTAATCCGCCTGAGTGGCCGAGTAGGCAAGAGTCTCCACTAGCAACTCAATGATCGTGGGTTCAAATCTCAAGTGGGGTAGTGTTTTTAATAAAAGCCGAAAGTCTTAGATCCTAGTGCTTTTTTAAGACCCTTAGTCTTAGGATTTATTCTCTGGCTAAATTTATAATAATAATAATAATAATAATAATATTTTCAAGTATCGTAAAGACATTATGTGGTGGAATATTGCAAATCAAGTAGCGTTTGTCAAGCCTTGGTCAAATTGTGGCGTCGTTTAATCGAAATTGGAGAGGAATGAAAGCAAACAACTACAAAAGGGCATATACTAGACAATGTCTGCATTTCGTAATGGACAGGCTGGGCAGGATGTGGTTTTATAAGCACATATACAGGATCGGACAGGTATAGTAAAGCGTCGTCTTTTTGGTTGCCAAGGCTTAAAACTTGATAGGACTGAAAGTAGAGGACTATAGAAGCACTTGTCTTGTGGCAGGATATGCGGTTTGTAATAGACAGAAACAGGGACCTGGTTTTATTACCAATTCCTGCTGAAGAATGTTTATCGTATCAAATATGTTTGATAAACTTAACTTATTTTATCTAATTTACTTCTGTTTAGCTTACTGTTGTGCCGAGGATTAAAAACAAAAAAATTTTAAAAATTTTACCTTAACTCTATTACATAATTGGTCAAAATGGTAAAAACCACAATCGCTTGTTGTTATATGTACATAAATAAATGTTTTTTTTCAAATGTAAAGAAACAGCTTTAGGGCTAAACTGAACTTATACTGATACTTATCAAGTAAACAATTTATTGGATATTGTGGCTGTGTTTTGTACAACAAATAAATAAACAATTTTGCTTGTAAACATTTTCTGTATACACGAGGTCCTTGTTATTTGTAGATGTATCTGTACTTTGATCTAACTTTTAAATAACTGTATTAGGCACTTTAAATTCAAAATTTATGTTAATTGTTATTGTATTTACGAGAACTATTGATTTTTTTGCAAAACCTTTAGCGATTTTGCTTAAATTGAATCATTTTTTAGTTTAAGTGTTAGAAGCGGATAAACATCCACTTTTGCGTGAGAAAAGTCATCGAATCTTTCTGTTCCTGGGGATTATGGGAATTAAATAAAATTGCAATGCAGTGAATACGTCTTCGCACCATATTCCTAGTTTATGGGAATTTGTATTTAATATATTGCTTGTGGTTGCATTAAAAGCCTTATACTGGCATTGTGCTCGAGCATTTGAATGAAATTGATTGTCACTGTTTTCGTAAGCTCCGAAGCAAATAATCTCACTAAGATTCTCTATATCATTTCTCTGCCTACACCACTTGTGGTATAAGGGCATGCCTGCATACACTCGAGGGACTTGAGATAAGTTCATTTATTATTATACCGATCAATTCATAAGCACTTCCTGTATCTATCCAAGGTTGTCTGTCCGTGAGTCCGTCTGTCCGCTTTGGTTTCTTGTATCCAACCTAAAATTTTTTAAAAAGTTTACTGAAATTTGGTGAGGGATTGTGGCACAAGGACGAACGCTGTTCAAAATGGTTCGGTTCGGACCACTTTATTTTGAAAAGTCCTTATATGAATAATTATATTAAACGAAATGGTGCAGGTTATTTATCGATGATCTGTGTTTCCCTAAACTGTTTCTCTTTGTTAATTAGTTAAAAAAAATTGAAAAGATGATGATTTCGAACAAAAAGATTTTTACATCTATGACTTAATCACTGAGGGGATGGTCATGAAGGATTATAGATAAAGAACGTATTCGCTTACATTTGCTTTGAGAGTATTATTATTATTATTATTATTAATTTACACAGAGAAATAAATTCTAAGACTAAACTCTTAAGGCACTAGCATAAAAACTTCACCGCATTTGAGATTCGAACCC